TATATATGTTTATATTTAGGTCATATATTTTTTTTAAAGTGTCTTATTTTCACCAAAGTTGCATATTTGTTAAAAATATATAGTAAAAACAGTAATATTGTGAAATATTGTTACAATTTACAATATTTTTTTTTCTATTTTAATATATTTTTACAAATGTAATTTATTCCTGTGATGGCAAGCTGAATTTTTAATAGCCAATTCTCCAGTGTCACATGACCCTTCAGAAATCATTCTAATATGCTGATTTTGTGCTCATGAAACATTTTATTTTATTTTATTTTATTTTTTAAATTAATTTATTTATTTAAAAAATTATTTTTTCATTTATGTATTTTTATTTTATTTTTATTATTTTTATTTATAAAAAAAAAATTTCATTTATTTGTTCATTTATTAATTTTTTAAAATATATGTTTTATTTATTTATTTAAAAAAAAAAAAAAGTTTTATTGGTATAGATCCACACCTGGCTACAGAAAATGTAATACTTAAATTTAAATACTTAATTAACTTTAATACTTAATGATCTGGATAATGGTAGTTAGATAAATTCTTAAACATTTTCAATGCAAGCCATAGAAAAAGAGTAACATCTGATCTCTAAGCTGCCTCCACGTCTGGTGGACATCTGAAGAGAGGCAACGAGTCGCTTGTGACACACGAGGCTAGAGGAGGGGGTGCGGAGAAAATAGCACAAATCACAGTGGCAGAGTATGGCTGAGCCTATAAATCTGATGTGTCACAGATAGCGCCAGGCCTGAAGCCCTTCAGCTCTACACAGCTGATTTCATGTGGAATGAACTCTGAGATTCCAGAGGTTGTTTATGTCCCAGCTCTGTTGCTTATCAGGTTAAAATTATAGCCCCCATTCCAACCCCATGTGCATGTATCCACCCCTCCTCCTCTCCCATCACCCCTCCTCCTTCAGCAACATGGCACCTGTTGTGAAGCCACACGCTATTTTTGGACCCTCTAAATATGGACAAGCTATTTCTTAGTCTTGCCACGTACACTCTGATGTCAATGGTGGCAGTTTTACGCAAAGTGGAAAAACAATGACTATTCTAAACATCGGTTTACATCTAAACAACAGGCTAAGAGTGAAGCACATAAGACAAACTTTAGGAAAAATTATGAAATTGGCTACAAATTTGAATGTAAAACAACAGAATTATTGCATTGAAGCTTTGTCTTCATATTACTTGATCACAATAATGAAACCACACTATAATGACTTATAAAAAATCCACCCAACTCAAATGCTTCTCAAAGACACACTGGCGACATTCAGCTCAACATCAACTAAAAAGTTAAATAAAATAGTACAGCTCAAGACTTACCCACACGTGTCTGTTCGGGTTCGTATAGAAAAGGAGGACAATGAACCAGTCAGTCCACAGTTTTATCAGAGTGAAAGAGAGAAGTGAGGAGGGTCCAAAAGGACTCAAGACAACAGCTGACAGCACGAGACCCTCAAAATAACCTCCAGTGGAACACCAATGGAAACGTTGTGCAAACACTCTGAATGAATCGGCCTGTCAAGATCTTTCTACTCAGGCTTTTCAGGATGACAGCTGAGGAGCTAATTTTGTAGTATCCTTTGAAAGGCTTCAGACTTGTTATCACAGATAGATCTACTAATCCAAAATTCATTCTGGGTTAGCACTGGTATAGTTGATTAGAAGTAAAAACTAAATGTTGAAAGGTTTTTACCCCTATAAAGCCTCAGATATTAAATGATAGTCAGATTTTTTTAATGGAACAGTTTGTTGAACCTTTAGACAAAATATAAATGAAAATCTAAATAAGGTTTACGTATGTGTTTTTTGTTAAGTATAATATAGTGAGAATATGAAGCTCATACTTGAGGAGGGGGGAAAAAAATCTGTTTTATTCCAAGGCCCAAATTGAGCAAAATATGCAATTTGGTGCAGTTGCTGATATAAATGTGGCCAAAATTATTATTTTTTTTGAAAATTTCAATTTTGATAGCTTGTAAAATAATCAATGAGATATTTACAGTAGTATAGCAGACTACTTATATAAAATGCATGTAAATATCAGTTGTCACTCTATATCTCCGAGCAATATGTCTTAGATGATATTTAAATACTTAGTTTTATGATCAGAGGTCTGTATATTGTGGAGGCCAAAATATGTAATGAAGTGCAAAACTATGATTTAGAGACATACAGATAAACGGTCCTCAAAAGTGTCATTTACATTGAAATAAATTTGAACATGATTTTTCTAAAAAGTCATGTATGGATAATTAAGTTGCTTAAGTCCAGTAAATGTTCATCTTAGAATATTGCTAACAGTATAAAAGTTATTCTTGTTTACTTTATAAACAGTAAAGATTTCACAGCAAAATCACACATGTACTGCAACCTGAAGGTGACAGAAGGTACAGTATGTAGTAGATTGTGTACAACTGTTTTTGTTGTTGTTGTACATTTAGACTTTTTAGAAATTTGCATACTAAATATGATACACTTGGCTTTATAGGGTTAACATGCAAATCTGGGCGGCTCTATGAGTTATTGACTTCTGTACTGAATGCCTGAGGACCAATTTCTTGTAACAATCTGCTTAGTATTGGGTTCTCACAGCTCCTATTAGCATTTATTATCACATTTGTCCACCATAATTCCAGTCAGTTGCACTCTAATCACTTCAAATCATGCAAATGGAGAATTGTGAAGTGATTAGCATCTCCAGTGCAACTCACTCCATAACAGCGTTTTTGTCTGCACATTTCTAAATATTTAAAAATATTTGGCATGCAACTGCGAAACACGGCCACCCACCCATTCATCAAACAATATCATGGGTTCTTAAATGTGTGACCTAGTGCGGTTTAACACATTGATATCAGCAAATTTGGCCATCGGAATCATTACTTTGCTATTTGCAATAACTCTTACTAAAAGCACAAATGAGTCTAAAGTGTTTCAGGGTCATGCTGAGGATTTGTAAAGAGTGGTGGGCGATAGTCTTTACCGCGGGTCGTCTCTCTGATAATCCTCACCCTCTTTGGCTTTTATTAGGGAATCTGTTTAATCACCAGATAGAAATGATTCTGACATTGGCTCCAGGCTTAATTGTTTCTCTCAGCCCCTGCATCTCAATTAATGATTGTAACGTCCTTGTTCTTTGAGAGTCTCTTGCTTGGGTGTTTTCATAAATGTCTCTTTAACCTTGAGTCATGTTTTGTAGGAACTGTCAGCCTGTTACAGTGCTGGCGAGGCAAGGACTTGACCAATGTTTCTGGACTTGTACGTTTTGAGGTTATAGGCACAGATGAACTGGTAAGAATGAGCAATACTTCTCCAAACTGCTAATTTCCTGTTTTCCATGGCATAGGACTCTTTTAACAAAGTTATAACAGAATATCGCACAGTTTTTTTTATTTCTTTTTGGCTTGAGAGCTCTTCTAAATTAGCTGTTGACTCATGCAATCAAATGAAGTCAGATCTGCCCACGTCTCCTCCTGCCTCGCTCTCCTTTCTCTCCAGGTGCTGTCAAAAGCACTCTGATCCTTGGACTGTGTTGCAGAGACAGGGACGTCCATATATCCTGCATATAATTTGCTCTGTCACACATTGTATTTAATGGTTGATAATGAGGCTTGCTATATTCTAAAATTTATCATTTGTCATTTTTAAATTGCAGACTTGTTGTTAACGTTGATAGCAGATGGTGAAAAATTAAAATGAGATGGTTATTTGAATCCTATTTAACTTTCTTAATTGTCACAAAATTATTTTTTTTTCTCCCACTAAAAATATCAAAATATATTTTAGAGGAATTTACTTGAGAAGAAAGACTGCATAATATTATATAAATATATATTTAACTTAAGTTTTAGTGCTTTATGCAATATGCTTTTATCTGTGTTAATAATAAAGATAAACCCTTTGACAATTTTACTTTCTTAAAATTCTTTAAAAAGATCTATTACATCAAAAAAAATTATTATGTTTTAATTTTGTTTTATGTAATATACTGTAAATTTTTCTGGTAAAAATATTTTTAAAGGAAAACAAGACAACAATACTCACTGATACACATAGTAATAATACTATTGATTTAAGTTCATTTTAACCTGTGTATTATTATTATTATTTTTTTTTTTACATATGTAAACAAATAAAATCACATAATTAGTTAGACATCAAATATCTCTAAAAATGCAAATGAATCATGTCAGTGAATAAGCATTTCAAGGAATACCATATGAAAAATGGAAGTGAAATACAGATCTCTCTGAGGAATGTGAATATAGTTTTTTTTAGCTTGTGTTTTATTCACAGGGCAGAGATGGAGCAGCATTTGATGGGAAGATGTGTCTCACATGCATGTAGCATAAGTTAACAGAGAGGATTTCTCCTCACGCTCTCAAGAAGACACAATCCAGCAGCTCTCCTGACATTATATGTCACTGGTTTGTTTGTAGGCTACAGCATCTCCTTGCAATGCAGGCTGGAGGAGGTGTCTGGATTCACAGAAAGCACGGGGGGCTCAGAGCTGACTGTTAGGGATGAGCACAACCAGCATTCCCACAGTGAAGGCAATTACAACAGTCCACATCCCTCTGCGTTGACTTTAATGCAGTTTGCACCCAGTCCTCTATGAGGAATGCGGTAATGTACAAACAACAGATCTGGACATTTTATTACTTATGAACTGAATTTTAATAACTTATGGGTACTTGAAGTTTTAGTTATGTTTAATTTAAGTGTTATAGCAGTTAGTTTCGATGCTTAAATGAGCATTTAGCTATAGCCAGGGGCTAAAAAGTGGCCCTGGACTTTTTGGCACAGAGCGGCCCACCACACCATAAACCCACCAGCTCATTAGAGCTATTTTGAACACCACTTACTAACATACAAATATAACACATTACAGAAATAAAAAAATGCTTTTTTTAAAATTAGCATTAACAATAATGAATCACTATCATACTTCTTTAAATTATAATTTGTCTTTCCTGGTGTATATGGCAAATTGTAATGAATATTTTTACACATCTCTTTTACATAGACAGTTTAAAAAACATATTAAGTGAGTGACGTGACATGTGGCCAAGTATGGTGACCCATACTTGGAATTAGTGCTCTGTATTTTCCTCTGTATTTATTTGAATGAAATTGATTTAAGGGACAGTAAAGATATACTTATTACAAATGACTCGAACCCGCAACCTTTAGGTTACGAGTCCAACTCTCTAACCATTAGGCCACGACTTTTAAAGTTATATGCCTACCATAATATCAGTCCATATAACATTGCTCTGCTCTGCTCTAGAAGACTTGGAATGTAGTGTAGAATGTGGACTGCTTTTATTGTGCCTTTCAATTGCTTGACAAGAGTTTTTTTTTATGACGAAATAATTTTATGATGATGATGAAAAATACTGTAAACTGTAATAGCCTATGTGAAATATATAAAGTTACAATTTAGAATAGCTGTTTTCTATGCAAATATATAGTAAAAAAAAAATGTCTGTGATAAAAGCTGAATTTTCAGCATAATTACTCTTACATTCTTCAGTGTCACATGATCCTTCAGAAATCATTCTAATATGCTGATTTGCTGCTTAAGAAACATTTCTGATTATTAACAATGTTAAAAACAGTTGTGCTTTCTTCATATTTTTGTGGAAAAAGTGATACATCACCATTCAGTTAGGAGTAAGAATAAAAAAATTAATAATATTTTTATTCAACAAGGTTGAATGAAATTGATTTAAGGGACAGTAAAGATATACTTATTACAAAATATAGATTTTTTTTTAAAGCTGTTACTGTTAAACATTGAAGCATTTATATTTATATATCTTCAATAGAAAAGCATAACTTTCCTAATCATGGCACTTGAAAGCGAAAGTCTTCATATTTACAATGTTCTAGTTCGAGAATGATAATGATGAGGATTATATTTTTTTTACAATTTTTTTTTTTTACATTTTCTTAGACACGTGAAATTACGAAAGAAATATAGCGATATACAAACATTCACAGTTATCTTATGTATGCTGAAACCAGCTACGTTTCTATGTTGCCCAATTGTGGCAAATAATGTAGGCCCAAATGGCATGAAAATCTGCGAAATTCGAAAAGGCCAGTAGTACTGTAGGCTAGTTTGCATCCCTGAAAATTAATGTCTGTCGCTACAACAGCACTAGGACTTTTCACTCTTTGCATCGTTCCGCGATCCAGATCGCCTGTCAAGTCTGTAGTGTTTCCTTTTATAGTTACTACAATAGGTGGCGACAAAAGACCGTTTTAAGTCATTTTAAATCCTTCATTCACCGATTCGTTCAAAGACGCTGATTCATTCTGGAACGCAACGGCAATTCTACCGTGTCTTCATTTTTTTGGATATAGGCCTATTTTCATTATCTGTGCAAAGAATACAAAGTAGTACTGTCGAACTGGCGAATATTGTGTCTAAAATGTAAGTTACTCAACTTTAATTTCTTGTTTATTGAACTGTTGTGTGAGAAAACGAATCAGTCGTGATCGCGCAGCGTTGATTCATTCAAAAAACAAAACAAAAGTCTTTGTGAACGAGTCATTGATTCATTTGTAGTTTCCATATTGCTTATTAAACTTTGACTGAAATGTTGCTCTAAAAACTCTTAGGAGAAAAACTAAAATTAAACAAAAAGCGAATTTTAATGACAATGTTTGAGTTCGTATTAAATTCTCTAACGTTCAACTTAGATTTGATCGCAGTCGTTAAGTACAATGTGTGACAATTGTGAGTTCTCAACACTCGATGGAGACAGATAAGAGATTAATGGGGTTAAGCCAGTCTCAATTTGCTCTCCATTTAATATGTTGAACAGGGAAAATAAATAAATAAAAAGAGACCTCATTTGTTATTTTTCTTTCATGTGATGTCAAATGGGTCTTCTATTGCGCTTCCACTTTTACTTCTTTTCTTGATCATTTCACTATAAAATATATTCCTATTAATTTGCTGGCTCACAAGTAGCCTACTATTTCCTTTAGGAAAAGCAAATGGGAAAAAGAATTACTCTCCAACATGAGTGCTTATCTAAGCAAGAAGAAAGGAACATTTACACCTCAGAGGAAGACATCAACAGCAGCAATGGCTATGAAGCCTTATTAAATGAAAAATACCTCTTTAGTCCCTAAAATGGCATGATCACAGACTGACTCATAGCCGTGTCATGTTAATGGATATGTTGATAGAGCCCATGTAAGTGTCCAATGCTCTTTCATGCAGTGCAGTGACGGCAGTGCATTAAGCTGTAAAAACACGATGCTGTGAAACTCACCTCTGAGCAGCAGGGCAGAACCTCTATTGACAGACTGTTATAATGTATCTCACTTAGTATATTAAACAATGTCACAATCCAGATCAGTGTCATCTAGCCTGTTTACAGAATGTTCCACACACTGATTGTGACTGTGTTAGCAGGATGATTGATATACCAAAAGAAAGACATAAGTGATCATTTCACACTGGAAATAATATTTAGGAACATGATCAAGAACAAAAGGTCAAAGTTTTGACAGGATACTAACATAGTCTAGTTAGCCCCTGCGGGTAGATGTTTTACACCATTTGTTTCTAAAAAGCATCTGTTTATATTAATGGCCGTTAAGTTTTTTAATGTTTTTTATGGTTCAAAAGTTTGGGGTCAGACTAAGATCTATTTGAAACCTTTTTGAAAGAATTCTCTCATTGTTACCAAGTCTGCATTTATTTGATCAGAAAATACAGTAAATCTGTAATATTTTGAAATATTATTATGAATAACTGTTTTAATATCATTTAAAATATATTATATTCATGTGATGGCAAGGCTGAATTTTCAGTGTTATCCTTCATAAATCCTTCTAAAACATTAATTTGGTGCTCAAGAATCATCTGTCAAACAGTTAAAAACTTTTTTTAAAGATAATATAATTCAATATAAATTTTTCTGCAGCCTTTCACAGTTCAAGATCATTCAAGTCATAAGTGATGGGTTTGAGACCATGTGTGTTGTCACATGACATTTACACCTTAGGTGATTGGCTCAGAAAGTTCTGTGGTCCCATGTGCAAAGATCTCCTTGAGCAAGGCAGTGTAGTACTATGTAGTTTTACTCTCTTTAAAGGTTAAGTGTCTCTATCAGTGTGAAATATGTATGTAATAGTTTAAATTCATATGCTACAGATCATTGATTAAATGCAATCATTCATTAAATTTGTGAGCAGGGTATATCTGACACAGTCAAATTATTTCCCCAAAATGGATTTCTTATTGGAGACAGATATTCCACTTCCATTCCTCCTTTTTGAATAGAGATGCCTATGTGTTTCCACAGTTACCATTCTTAACTGTGCGAACTTGCATGGCACCGCAAATGGCAGCAAGGACGCTGAGCTCCGTGATTCTTCTATTGTTTTTGTTTGTTTGTTCTGTGTTTTGTCATTCTTCTTCTACAAGTTTTACCAGAGACGAACTCCTTAACATTAAGCAGCACATCCCAGACAACATTTATCCGGTTTTTGATTATTCGGACGTTTTGTTGGACATTGTAGTTGGAGGTACAGCGGTGTTGTTCAAACGCGCGTGTAGACGCAGAAGAGGGAAACGCGCCGGCACCCTGGTGAAGCTCCGCACGCGCGGCTTTCGGACTGCGCTCCCAAGCATTCATCTCGCGAATGTCCGTTCCCTTCCGAACAAAACGGATGAACTTCTTCTCCTCACCCGCACCAACAAGGACTTTTCAAACTCTGCTGCACTGTGCTTCACTGAAACCTGGCTGAGTGAAGCCATTCTACTTCTATTTCTGTATATAGTACATTATTCAATTTTTCTTTTTTTATTATATTAGTGTTATATTACATCCCTACTGTGTTATTCCTATGTATGTCTGCACTATGTTTGTACTTTCTTCTACACTGGAAGCTCCTGTCGTCAAGTCAAATTCCTTGTGTGTGTAAACATACTTGGTAATAAAGCTCTTCTGATTCTGATTCTGATTCTTACTTATCTCTGCCCTGCTCTGTAAATGTAATTTCCCTCGTCGCAAATAAGATGGTTTTAATTCTCCTCCACTTCCACGAGTCTGTCTCTTTTTTTTTTTTTGCTTAATTCTGAATGAAGAGGCAGAATTTGAAGCTCTGCCAAAAATCTGAAGGACAGCAGACATTGAGGAAGAGCGTGTGCCCGCATATTCTCTGCAAAATTAATCGGGAGTCTTTTGACATTTCCTTTTTATTAGTCTCAATTATTGATATAAGCTGTGTTTAAAATTATTTTCAAATTAACTTGCTGTAATGGATACATAATGGTGCTCTGAATAATTGCCTTTGCAAGAACTAAAGAATGAAGGAACTTGAGAACTTAGCCATCAAGCACACACAGTTTGACTCCACAGGCTCTTTACCTGAAGGTCTGCTCCACATTTAGCAGGGGAGGATGTTGGCTTCTGCCATTAAAAATGGCATTACAGAAACATCCATTATGTCAACATCACCACAGGGAAGCACTGAAATTAGAATTAGAGTGACATCATTTGAGCAAAATGCTTATTCAACATGGGACTTAAGATAATGTAATAGTATATCAAAAGTGGTTCGTTTTTCTAGTACTTAATATTGTGAAGGTTTTTTTTTTTAAAGTTCTAAAGTTTTTAAATTTTACTTTCAAATTTTACTAACTTTGTACTTTTCAATGCTGATGTACTGTTAATGAAAGGTACATACACTGAAAAAAATTATTAATTGAATTTACTACATTTTTTAAGGTAAGTGGTTGCAATCTTACCTTAAATAAATTTAGTATACTTTTTTTCAGTGTACTTGATCTTAAAGGGATAGTTTACCCCCAATTTTTTTTTTTTATAAAATCATAATTCTGTCATCATTTACTCATGTCATTTCAAACCCATAAAATTTTGGTTAAAAAATGAAGATGAAACTCTTCTGTGTTGGGATATTTCCACATTCCCTTCCTTTACAACATTCCAGACTATGACATTCAGGATCGGAATGTCTTTTCCTGGACTTTCTGATACACTGTACTCAATTAAGCATATAGAGTAGCTGGCAAATGCACACTCTCGCTCACATTCATATCACTTCCGTAAATGTTTTAGGCTCTGATATACATACAAGCATCATGGAGGCAACATGGGCCTGAGTAGATGTAGAAAGGGTGGAGAGAAGAACAACTTGAAGCATCTGCTCACAGTTCAGTGAATCTCTGAGCAGCACAGGAATCTGGTAAATATGGCCACTAAAGTTTATAGTACATTGCTGATTGAGACAATTACACACTATTATCTACAATCATGTCACATAACCACCAACATTATTTAGAATATGCATTCACTGACATCCGATATCACTGGAGGTCTCATGTTAAAAGTGTCTGAAGGAACAAAACATGATTTTTTTTGTCTATTTTGTCTGCTACATGAATACTGAACAGATATTCTTGAGTTTTCAGGGATTTCTTTGCATTTCTCTCTCCAGCCCCTGCGTATGTGATGCATAGCATGAGTCTTAGGTGTCCAAACCATCCTCATGCAAAACAAATCCATTTCTGTTACATAACGGCATTAACCAGCTGATGATAGATTACTCTTGAACGGTACTTCCATGGCTGTTTTGTGGGTTCATCATTTAGATTTCAGGGTTCCCACACTTTCTTACTAATGAATTTAAATGATTTCCCCCTTCTCTAGTCATCTGTGATCTGAAGGATTTTTAAAAATATAGAGATCGCATTCATTTTTTTACGTCAATGGAATCTAAAAAAAAATGTATATTGACTACACAAATTTCCATGAACTTTAACATATTTAATTAATGCCCATGACTTATTCAGGCCTGGAAATCAAACTTTTGAAACTCCCTGATGTATCCAGGACTGTGGGAACCCTGTGGTTTATGGATCTAGGAAAACACACCAGTAATATCAGTCTCATAAAAAAAGGACAAAACCAAAAAAGGGAACAAAAACGGAAAAGGTGAGATTAACAGCTCACTCTGCTGGGCTGTTGCTTACAAACGAAGTCTGTCATGAAATCAAACTCATTCTGTCCCAGCCAGAGCTCTGGCAGCTCCTTTATTCGGTCCAAGCCCATTTCTATCACCAGTGACATCAAGACCTCCTCGTCAATAAAATCCGTGTCGATAACGTTGGGGGGCAGCATTGCTGCAGGCATGTGGTGGCCAGGCAGAGGAACCCCAGAAGTGTTCTGCTTAGCGTTACTGTCTCGGAACTGCTGTCCTGTCCCGTTTAACTGGTGGCTGGCGGGGTGCAGTTCGTGCATGTAATAGTGATGATGGGAAGGATGCGTGAGGTGACCGTAGTAAGGCGTGTTGAGCTTCTGCAACTGCATGCTGGCAGCGAGCTGCTGCTGCCCTTGTCCGACAAACTGGGAGTTAAAGCGGGCAGGCAAGTTGCCATTGGGAATCCCTCCGTTTATATTATTCCCAGAGGCCATGGAATGCCGGATCCCGTGGTTTGCGTTTACATTCCCTCCCGCGTAATGCATGTGATCTCCCATGATAACGTTATAATGCTGCTGCTGCTGCTGCTGGGGAAGCGCGTTGGAAAACTGTCCCATTCCCATCCTGCGCGCGGAGTGCTGATGCCCATTCACAGCATCTGGGAAACGTCCATGGTTCATTGCCATCATGCGGTCTACCATTCCACTGAAAATCAGTTTGCAAAAGTTAAAATGGCAATTTGCGTAAACATACTGTATAATGTCAATAGATAGTTAGAGGGCACTAGGATTTGGTTTAGAAACAGTTCAACATTAAAGCGAAGCTTGTTTGCGATATGCACGATTAAACACACACGGGTCTAACTGTTTAATGAGCATTCATAAGCAGGCTAAACTTGGTAACCTTTACCTCTCTGCTTGAATCTGCTGAGTGCGTCGCACCGCAGTCGGCAACAGCAAAAAGTAATTGACAATCCCAGAGATTAAAGAGTTTACAATCCCTCCTAATCCAAGTCAATAAAAAGCGTATGCTCTACAAATACAGACTGCATTCAGCGCCAGCCTCCGCATCAAAAAACATTACGAAATAAACTGCTGCATGCTTCTCGGTCAGCGCTCATATACAATCAAGCCAGGGGCGGAGCAAAGCCAACCTTCAATCTGACTACATTCACGCCTGTGGCAAGCCAATTTATCATGTAGGCTATTTCTCTTAAAGGTACAATATGTAAGTTTTCGGTCGCATTTTCAAAACAATAACAGAAGCTAAGCTCGATGACGCAATGACGGAGCATGGCATGATGGGAGATGTCGTTTTCACAAATAATTTTCACGGATGAGGTAATGTATTACTTTTTTTTATGAACTTACCTGTACATTTGATAACAGTATTTTATGTCATCATAATGGATTATCTGCAAAGAACATGAAATTTGATTCTATATTAGCCTTTTACTGATATGGGACTATTTGTCATGATTTGGCGGGTTAATGATGCGCATTTTTACGTGTGTAAAACAGTCGTTCTAAAAGTACATTTGAACGAACGCACCGTATTTGCAAGTACGGCTAAATGTTTTTGTGCAGCACATACTGTATTTAATTACATTACCATAGGTTTGCTCACCAGACTTGATAAAAACCGTTAACATACTGAAGTACAAAGTGCAACTTCATCAACTGGTGTACGTCTATGTTTTTTTGGGATTTTCCATACTTTCCAAAGTGTAATCGTGATCAATGATAATGTAAATGCACAACAGTGGCACACTGCATGCGGTATAACTAACACTTCCGCATTTCTCCACGTGTGTTGCTTTAGTATATTGCGTCATTGATAGGCAACGAGTCATTATTTAAAACTGGAATTTCTCTGGATTTACAAATCCTTGGGAACTTTTGAGATAATGTAAGTACACAACTGCATGAAATATATAACACTGTGCAAATGATTTTTGGATATTTTATTACAAAAAATCTTACATATTGTACCTTTAACTACTTTCAGGAAAGCAGGTTTACTAGTTCCTTGGAGGTTGTACTTAAATTTTCCGGTTTTCCTCAATCTGTTTCATAATAGATAGGTGTTCCAGTATTCCTACACTGTAAAAAAAATATTTCACAAGATTTTATGCAAGAAATGTTTTACAAGAAAAAACTTTTTTTATTTCTACTTTAAAATTTCAATGTGTTACTTGCTGTTTCTTTGTAATTGTTTGTGACCATGTTTTCTACATGTTTTTTTTTTCAGTGTAGTAGCAATTAAATGCTGTATTATGCATGCCAGGCCAGTAGTTTGTAATGTCACTTAGCAGAGAAACACTACAGCCTGTGCACACACCCATTGAATATGTAATAAGCATGCAAATGACATCACCATTTGTAGTTTACACTGAGATGATAATGGTATCGGTTTCGAAAACTTGCATTTTGAAACCTGTTTTCAAAAGTTTGCACTTTCAGAGAGCCAGATCGTGTTGTTGTGTTGTTGTGTAAATGAATGACCAAAACACATAAAAAGTTTTCAGTTTTTAGTTGAAAAGGGTGTTGTGTAAACACCCCCAAATTTGACAAGGAAAAAAGCAACTGTAACTAGTGAGATAAAAATTATAGGCCTAGTGAAAAGTATCAAGCTTTCTAATTATTTATCTAATCAATAAGTAGTAGAAGTATTGAAACTAGAATCAAATTAAATCGAATAGTTACTAGTCAGTATTGAAATAAGTAGTAGTATCTATAAAATAAGTAGCTTACTAGTACACCTTTATAGTAAAAAAGTGCTACATACTATTACTTGCACTGAGATAAATTTGGAAAGTACAGAAATCGCTAGTAAACTGAAGCAAGTAAACAGTAAAAAGAAAAAAGTATGCTTAAGTAACACACTGAATAAACATGAATTAGTATTTTATTGTAAAACATACTCCAACAATTTTTGTTTTATTTACAATATGTTTCAGTGTACTAGTAATTAAAATATTAACTAGTAAATAGACATTACGTGTAATGGATAAATGTTGAAACGGCTTGCCGCAAAAGTCTGGAACTGGGCTCGTGCAAAACGTGGAGCTGAAGCGCGCGACCAATCGCCTTCCGCGCGCATGGAGCAACACCGCTGCACACATTACCTCATTGCGGCTATTTCTGTTCACGACAAGAGTAAGCAAAACATGGAATCACGTTTCACGGGTTTTTAAAGGCAGTGTGCGTGCTCGAACATCCATTAACACCATGCACTGATTGAGATAAACAGGGTTGGTGATACTTTACACTGTATTGCCCGTGTCACACATTTTTCATGCACATGTAATTTATACCAACACTTAGCAATAATATGAGCTGTATTGAGTTGTGACACAATACATTTAACCAATTACAACGTTAAATAGTTAAAGTGATACATGAGCATCATCCTAATGAGGTGACAGTAGAAGTTGAAAGTCTCTAAAATAAAAAGGATTTACAGGGCAAAAAAAATCTATTTCTAAGTAAAAAGTATGATTCCATTTGTGAGTTATAATTTGATATGCAATCGTTAGTATTTGTTAAATGTTTACATTGTAACTTAAATACCAATGAATGTGTCAGTTTTGTCCGCAGTCAGATTTAAGTGCATAAAACAGAACAAGAAAAAATGAGCAGCAATTAAATCCTAGGAGTGCTGATAAGAGGAGTCTGTGTTCACTGCTGCCAAATAATCTTCACGTTCTGCACGTCCAAACCAATAGGCCTGCTGAGAGACAGTTGACAGTGAGTTTGATAAAAAAAAAATGGTGTAAATAAACCAGAACTTGGAGATACGTAAAATGTTATCATGTATAATCATCCGTCAGATGCATATGCTCAACCTTTCACTGGAAAAGTGAAAAAATGACACTTTTTGAGTTGCTTACTTATCCAAAAGGGGAGGCATATTTTCTTATCACTACGAGTTTGTAAATTATTATTTGAGAAAATTACCTCTAAGAATTATCTCATTGTGAGTCTCGATAGATATATAGATGCTGCCCTGATAGATGGAGGGGATAAAAGAGTCTAAACATGTTCTGGAAGATAAACATGAAAAGAACACCTGCTTTAAATTCAACAGCCTGGTAATAATGTCAAAATTAATTGCAATCTTGATCAGAGCTTCATGCATTTTAAACATCTCAACTCTAAATACAAGCCATTCCAGTTCAATTATAATGTATATGTGTTCACAAGAAAGCAGCACCATTGGCTGATATGATCATTTGTTTAATGGGCCCATTAACACGGTCATTAATTAATCCTACTCTGGCCATCATTACTTGCATGCATGTTTGAGATGTTTTGTCTTAGCAAAGCATCCAGCGTGTGATGTGAGAACGTGACCATTGTGCTTTTGAGAAAGGCACATAACCTCATATTCCTCTACAGAAGAGGTGCCCGAAGTTTTTAATACAAAGAACCAAAAATCAAACTTGATTGAGAGCCGTGGGCCAAAAGTAAAGGTTATTATATACCCAACTCTTAAAAATAAAGGTGCTTCAAAAGGTTCTTCAAGCGATGCCATAGAAGAACCATTTTTGGTTCCATGAAGAACCATTCAGTCAAAGGTTCTTTAAAGAACCATCTCTTTCTTACCTTTTTATAATCTGAAGAACCTTCTTTTGCCACAAAGAACCTTTTGTGAAACAGAAAGGTTCTTCAGATGTTAAAGGTTCTTTCTGGAACCATTTAGACAAAAAGGTTCTTCTATGGCATCGTGAAGCACCTTTATTTTTAAGAGTGTATATTATATATCCAGCTATATTATATCCAATTTAATTTTTTGACAATTATAAATAATTCAACATACTATAATATATTTAACATATAGTATGTTTAATTATAATGTATTTTTTAAATGTTTACATTATTTAAATCAATTTTACTTGTATTGTTTTTTATATTTCAATGCAAAAATAAAATCCCTGCTCTACAGTCTAAATTCCAATATAGGATCTAAATGATACACTGTTTGAAGAGAGAAAGTCAGAAGTATGATGCCCATGTTTAATGAAATATCTATATATAGACAAGCATAATCAAGAACAGATTAATGGACTACAGTTCATTAATTTTGAGACACTCTACTAATTCTGTCAAACAAGAAGAAGTTATCCGTATCTTTATCCGTTTCTATGCATAGAAAGACCTGGTCCCCTCCAAGTGTTCCTTCAGTTTTAGAGGCTGCTTAGACAATAGCATTCCAAAAGCCGTTTAATCCCAAAGTCATGCCTGAATCCGCCTCAGTAGAGAAACTAACTAATGAGCTTTACACCCTCTAAGCCTTATGTTCAAAACCTATTGCAGAAGACAACAGAAATAGTGTCAACCTTCACTATAAACATATGCATTTTAGTTATGGAGAAAATAAAGCTAGTTTTATTTACCCCATTTCAGCAGTATTTGGCCAGTGAACTAAAGTACCAGACAACTCTCTGAACTGCTGTCTCTGTGTAGCAATGTTTTCATAAGACAGAGCATTACAGTAAAAAGTACAGTAAACCCCTCTTCTGTTTACCCAAAGGGCAAAAGCTGGTTATATTTGATAGAATTGGCACAGGGCCAGCTCTATGGTGGAACTAGCCTGCAATATTTACCATGCATGATTCTGAACCAATCATGCACATTTATTTTATATTTATAACCTCGGAAATAAAGCCTAAATAAAACAAATATTTTAAATGTAAATTTTAGTAAATGTTTTAAATGACCAGACGTCTGAACTAGCGAATAGAAGTCCGTTTTAAATGAATCACTCTTTTGTGTCGGTTCTTTTCAACGAATCGATCGAATAGTCCGAATTGCTGGTCTGAATAATGTGAACAGTTCAGCAACGAGCTGAATTGTTTGGAGCGTATTAGCGAATTAAGACAGTAAATTCCACTTCCTAAGTCGCAAAAATACACAAAACTACATACAGTTACTTTAATGTACTTCAAAGTTTACCATGGTACAAGTAAAAGCTACTTTTTGTGTTACTGTTTTGTCACTTGTGCTGGATCAGGGGTGCCCAAACTCGGTCCTGGAGGCCCGGTGTCCTGCAGAGTTTAGCTCCAACTTGCCTCAACACACCTGCCTTTAAGTTT